TCCCAAGGAAACTTGTGATATCATATAGGCGGAGGACTGGTTACACTGTCTCAAGTGAATGTGGGACAGTCCACACCAAGAGCTCAAGTGTGGAAGGGGACAGAGAATTCCACGGTAATGGGTATCCCCATGAGCCCAGGTGATAGGAACAGAGCACAATGCCTGGGCGCAGTTGGTAATGGGTGTGTCTGGGTGTGCTGCCAGGGTGTGAGTGTGCTTTGGGTAGATGGAAGAGGGGTAGGGAATAGAGACTACTGTGAGCTCAGGTTGGAGAATCATCCAACTTTGGAGGAAGAAGAGGGCAAAACTGAGAAGACATACTGAGTACACTTGGAGACAACTGATTCCCTGGGGACCAAGTCTCCCACAGAGCAAGTCAGGTACACCCCACGCTATACTTGGAACAGATGCCAACTCTACTCCCAAAGCCAAAGGAAGGAGGGGTCAGGGGGAGAGGATCAGAGGGCAGTCAACAACCTCTCTGTCCTTTATCCTTAACCTCTGCTTTCAAATCACTGGATGCTGGAGAAGCCCTAGGGATGCTTTCAACAACATTCATCAGTCATTCTACAAAAATCAAATGCTTCTCATGTGCCAGGTCCTGTGCTAGGCATGAAGATGAAATGGTGGACAAGAGAAATACGACCCCTGCCCTTATGGATACTTATAGTGCAGCATGGCAGACATGGTAAGGAGTCACCACAAAGTGAGGTAAACGTTACAAGGGAAGGATAGGCTCTATGCATGCAGGAGTGAAGGGACGGACCCTGTCTAGGAGTCAGGGAGGCTTCTAGGATGAAGTGACATGTGAACTGATACCTGAAGGATGAGCAAAACCTGGCGAGGCAGGGCTGGCAGTGGGGGAGAACTGAGAAAGAGAGACAAACAGCACGGACAAAGGCTTGGGGACAAAATACATGCACACGCACGCACACACACATGCAATACATTCAAGGAACTGCTAGGATTTAGGAAGACTAGAGCATAGATGGCAAAAGAGAGAGCGATGAGAAAGGAGACTGGAGAGAGAGGCAGAGGCCAAACCATGGAGGGAATTTGTATCAGTAAGACTATGTCACCAATAATAGTAAATTCAAATTGGCTAAACAATAACATAATTTATTGGCTCATGCAACTGAAAAGTCCAGATGTAGATAGGCCCTAGGGTTAGCTTAATCCAGCAGCTCAGTAATATCACCAAGGATGTGGAGATGTCCATTAGGCAGGTGGTTATGGTTCTGACATGGAGGAGAGAGTCCCACCTGGGGATACTGGGCTATCATCAACTTACAGAAGCTATGGGAGTGGATTAAACTGCCTACAAAGAGTATGAAGAGGGATGGGGGCAGAGGCATGAGGGTCTCCAACACAAATCCATTCCTTCTCATCCTGTGCATCCACTTCAGTTCCAAAATGGCTGATAGCAGAGTGGGCTAAATAGTGGCCCCATAAAGATACGTCCATGTCCTAACCCCTAGAACCTGTGAATGTGGAAATTTTGGATTTGGAAAAAGGGTCTTTGCAGATGTAATTAAGCTAAGGCTCTTGGGATAAGATCATCCTCGATTATCCAGGTGGGCCCTACATCCAATGACAAGTGTCCCTAAAAGAGACACCCAGGGGAGAGACAGGGATGAGAGGAGAAGGCCATGTGAAGTTGGAGGCAGAGGCTGGAGTTATACAGCCACAAGTCAAGGAATGCCCGGAGCCAGCAGAAGCTAGAAGAGGCCCTAGAGCCTTCAGAAGGAGCAGGGCCCTGCCAACCCCGTGATTTCAGATTTCTAGCCTCCATAACTGTGAGAGAAAAAATTTCTGTTGTATTAAACCACCCAGTTTGTGGTAATTTGTCACAGCAGTCCTAGGAAACTAACGCAGATGGGGAGGTGGTCCAGAACCATAGGTCAGCCTCATGGCCCCAGAAGGGCTTTGATCAGTCTTTGCTTCCAATCTGTGGCTGGGGAGTAGGGGGCTTTTTCTCCTCCTACCCCACCAACGAATAGCTCCCTCCTCTGCAACCCAGAGACGTGGCCCTCAGTGTCTGAAGAAACAGACCCCTAATGACCAAAGACTTGGCCTTAAACCACACAGAGAGGCTGTGTGTCAGGTGGTGGGGAGCCCCAGTCAGTCAGTTCTGAGTACGCTCTGTCCCAAGCTGGAAAGGCTCAGGAAACAAGTCTCGGAGAGCTCAAACCTGTTTTAGGGTTTGGCAGACTCCCAGCTGTGAAGGCAGGATCCAGGGTCAGAGTCCACATTCCCCACCCAGACCAGAGACACAGTCACACACAGACACACAAAGCTCAAGAAAGAGGCAGGGCCACGAGAATGGCATTTGGAAAATTAGGAGCTGTAACAGAGAGAGACCTGCACCTAGATGCAGAGGAGGACTCTGAAATACCGAGAGAAAGCAGCAGAGATGGCCCAGAGACGTGTGGGCATACAGAGGGCCGTGGGGACGCACACAGGGATCCTGACAGAGACCTCAATTGGAAAAAGATGGAAACATTCAGAACATTTGGAAAGAGGGAAAATGAGCTAAAGCTGGGATTGCTGTTGGAGAAAGCTCTTCAGATGTCTAGACTCCAGACTCCAGTCAGTGTGTGCTTCTGTCCCCCGTGCTTCCCGTGACTTCTTCCACTTCAGCTAGATTAGTTGTTACCACAGTCCGTCTTGTCCAGGTCCATCCAATTCAGACATTACCACATACATTCCATGTGTCAGGGTCCAAGCAAAGTGCTGACAACTCAGCTGACCAAGACAGTGAGCTGACCATCCAGAGTGCACACTGGATCAGGTTGCCATGGATGGCTCTTAATTTGGCTCCAGAAATGACAACCTAGATTGTTAGACTGACTACCTCCTAAGATGATGGCATGGAGGACAGCTGTTGTTCAGCCACACAGGTTTTGGTATACAGTATGACAGTCCCTCTGACAAGGCAGATAATTTGGGGTGCCGTAAAAATGTGATGGCATGCTCCTGGAAAAATTGCGGTTTGACACGCATAGGTCACTGACAATGAGCTCCCTGAGGGCAGGGAAGGCGTCTTAGTCAATTTGGTTTTTCTCAAGTCCTGGCAAGTTGATCCGCAGAGAGGAAAATGCTCAATTATGGCTGTTGAATAAAAGACTGACTCAATCAATCAAATACTGGACCCTGCCCTTATGGATCTCAAGGCTATTAGAGCAGATAAAATGTCATAAATCACCTTAATATGAATTAGATGGTGGACAATGTTATTAGTGAGGGCAGGCAAAGAACTGTGGTGGTTCAGAGGCACCAGAAATCTCCTCCTGTGGTGTAGAGTTGGTCAAGAAAGACTTCTTGGAGGAGGTGGCTTTTGAGCTGAGTCTTGAATAATAGAAGGGATTTAGACAGAGGAGATAGTAAAACTATTTAACACAGTAGTAGATGCACAAGTACTGATCCATCAGAGTGGAAGCTGGCATTCAAGAGGGGTCCTGGGACCCCTGCTGTGCCAGGCATTACCTCTTTAGATAAGAGATCAGGAGGAGGTTAGGAGAGTCTCCAGGAAGAGTGGGGTAGCAGGAGCATCCTGAAGCTAGGGGCTAGTTACCAACAGGATTAGAAGTATTTCAATATATTTAATGACAGTTGCATACCTACTGAATGTCAGCCCCCGACATGAACCTCCTGAGATGGCCTCACTCTCTCCTGCTTTGTTGAAGCCATAGAGGCCTGACTAGAATGTGAGCTACAGAACGGTAGAGGCTGTTCTCTAGTTCAATGTGGCACCCCTGGGACCTAGAACAGTACCTGGAAGATTGGAGCAGGCTCCATACACGTTTGTCAAATGAATAGGCAGTCTGGGAACCCCAAGCCCATTCTTGGGAGCCCCTCCCTCTTTGTCCCTTGCACCCACTCTCCCCCTCCAATCCATGTTCCACACCAGCCGTCAACATGACCTAATATGAGAACTGGATTCTGTCATTCTCTTGCTCCAAATATCTGATGCCTCCCCTTTGCCCAGAATACCATTCTCCCCATTGTTTTCACCACTTGAACTGCTACTTCTTCAAGGCCCTGATCAAATCTGCCTATTTCTGTATTACCTTCTGAGGCAGAATTATTCACTTTCCTCTAAATATTATGATAATATTTGCCATCACTCACTAGATAGTGAGCTCCTCAGGACAGGGACCGTGTCTTATTCATTTCTTTACCTCGAGTCCATAGCCCTGTGCCTGACACATGGTAGATGCTAAATGAATACTTGTTAATTGTAGGAGTGAATGGCATTGCAGGCAGTGAGAACTAGAGGAACAAATGTGGTCAAAGTTTTGGGGAAAAAATGAATAATTTAATTTGGCTGGACAATGAGGGAGAGTAGCAGGAGATAAGATGGAAAGGTCTCTCAGGTAAGATTTTGAAGGGACTTGGAAGTCAGCTAGAGGGGGCAGATGGACAGATGGACGATACTTTGGTAGGTAGTGGGAAGCCAATGGAGCTTCTTGAGCAGAGGTGTAATATGATGAAAAATAAATTTAGTTTAAACCCATCAGAGTCCCTCTCATACATATACTCAGTTTTCCATTCACACTCAAATTCACCTCCCACCTACTCATCCATTCCACCACCACCCCCTCCCCGACCCCGGGCTCCTCCAGATTGTCCTACCCCTTTACTGCTCCCTGGCTGGGCCAAGGATGTAGACATGGGTTGCTTCCCCTCTCAGCCAGAGGCTGTGGGGGCCCCAGCTCCCTGTCTTTCCCTTTCCCTGCCTGGGGCCGGGAAGTAGGCCAGGGTTAGCTGGAGCTGGCTGGCGAGCAGCCTGGCAGCACCAGGGAGAGCCTGTATAGTGCCAGGTGGTGCCTTGGGTTCCAGGCTGAGCCCATGACCCCGATAACCTTCTGCCTGTGCACATACGTGCCCCCAACTCCACCCCCATCCAGGCTTTGGTATCGGAGAGGGGGCACAGGGCCAGACAGACCTGTGGGACTTTGGCTCCGTCTCTACAAAAGGGCATTCTGTGAGTCAGCCTGCTCCCCTCCAGGCTTGCTCCTCCCTCACCCAGCTCCTGTCTCTGATGCACGTATAGCCCGTACACACTGTGTCCCGACACCCCGCAGTCAGCCGCATGGCTCCCCTGTGCCCTAGCCCCTGGCTCCCTCTGTTGATCCCCGCCCCTGGCCAGGACCCCGCTGTACAACTGCTGTTGTTACTGCTGCTCCTGGTGCCTGCCCATCCCCAGAGCCTGCCCCAGATGCAGGAAACTCCCCCCATGGGAGGAGATTCATCTGGGGAAGATGATCCACTGGGCGAGAATGACCTACCCAGTGAGGAGGACCCACCTGGAGAGGAGGACCCACCTGGAATGAAGACTGAAACAGAAGAAGAGGACTCTCTGAAGTTAGAGGACCTACCTACTGTTGAGGCTCCCAGAGACACTAGAGGCCCCCAGAATAATGCCCACAGGGACAATAAAGGTAAGTGGTTGTCAGTCCTCCAAACCTAGGCTCTGGCAGGTTCGTGCCTTCCCTCACCAACCTCAGCCCACGCAGTGGTTCTTCAGGGAAGGAGAGGAGCCTGCACTCTGACAGCAGCCTTTCCCAACCCCAGGGGCTCCCATGCCACTAGACCCTTCTCCCCTTTCAGAGCTAGAAGGGGACGGATGGGGAGACAAAAGTGGGACACAGATGGAGAGAGGTGAGCAGGGAGAGATGGGAAAGAAGAAAGGGGGAGGTTGGAGAGGAGCAAGTGATGAGGAATGTGGAGAGGGAGAACATAGGTGGTAAGAGGGAAGAGTATGAGAGAAGAGACGAGGGAAGATAAGGGGACCAGAGGAAGAGGAGGAAGGACTTGTAGAGATCACCCCATCTTTAGTCTGCAGATGAAGAAACTGAGACCTAGGAAGAAGGAAACAGCAGGTAGGGGAACATGGTATCATGAATCCCAAGCCAGGAACTTTTGGAAAGGAGTTGGAGAAAAGAAAGGGAAGAGGGATGAGTGGGGAGGAGAGGAGTAAGGGAGAAAGGAAAGATGGGGTACTGATGTGGGCCTGGGACTGAGGCTCCACCCACTTTGCAGACCGTAAGACAATGGCTGCAAACTGGTATCTCCAAGGCCAGTAGGGTCTTTGTGTGGCCCACAGGCTGTGGTGGTGTGTTTGGCTGCAATCTATTGTGCTTTACACGTGTCCCGCTTTAGGCATTTCTGTCACTTGTCTGCCCTGTAAGGCATCTGAGTTTGTGAACCCCTGCTAGTGAGAGGGGCCCACCGCGTTCTGGCCACGGGGAGAGACTGGGCTGAAGATCGGCCTTTTCATCTCATTTATGCAGGTGATGACCACAGACGCTGGCGCTACGGAGGTGAGACACCCACCCCCTGCACAGACCCAGTCTGGGCACCCAGATCTTCTGATCTGCCCCTCAAACATCCCCGAACTCTGGTCCTGGGTGTCCCCCCACTGCACCCACGTCTGCCAGGCCCCGACACCGCCCGCTGCCTGTCTCCGTCCACATCCCGGATTTCTATTTCCCGCCCCGATGCCTCCTGACTCCGCCCCTTACTTTTTCTACCCCGCTTTCCTAAAAGTTCCCGATCTTGTCACCAGACTTCCTGCCCATACTTTCCCACCCCAGGCGACCCGCCCTGGCCCCAGGTGTCCCCAGCCTGCGCAGGCCGCTTCCAATCCCCGGTGGATATCCCCCCCGAGCTCACCGCATTTTGCCCAGCGCTGCGCCCGCTGCAACTCTTGGGCTTTGAGCTCCCGCCGATCCCAGAATTGCGCCTGCGCAACAATGGCCACACGGGTGAGGGGTTTCGGGGTGGAGCCTCGGGCGGGCGGGGGGCGGGGGGCGGAGGCTATCTGGGGGTGCGAAGGAGCCTGGCGAAGCGGGTGGTGCTCCGGACTTGGGCTGGCCCTCCGGGCGGGGCCGGCCCGGCTCACCTGCCTCTCCCGCCCGCAGTTCAGCTGACCCTGCCTCCCGGGCTGGAGATGGCCCTGGGCCCCGGGCGGGAGTACCGGGCCCTGCAGCTACATCTGCACTGGGGGGCTGCGGGCCTCCCGGGCTCGGAGCACACGGTTGGCGGCCACCGTTTCCCCGCCGAGGTGAGCGCGCAGCTGTCTGCCAAGGGGCGAAGGGGGCGCGGGCCCTGGATCTTGCCCACTCCTGCACTCATGTCCTCTCCAGATCCACGTGGTTCACATCAGCACTGCATTTGCCAAAGTGGACGAGGCCCTGGGGCGCCCGGGGGGCCTGGCCGTGTTGGCCGCCTTTCTTCAGGTACCAGCCCTGGACACTCCCGCTCCCTGCTTCCCCAGGCCCCGGGCTCCGCGTATCTTGCTTCCAGAGACCCCATCCCAGCACACTCACCCTAGCACCTGGCTGTCATCCTCATTCGCTCATTAGTTCGTGCGTTCAGTATCCACTGTGAGTTAGGCACTGGGCCAGAAACCGTGGGTCCTTGTCTCTCAGGAACCCACAGCCAGTCAGGGAGGCCGACAGGAGGGAGGCCGACAGGATACACATATATGAGAGTAGTCAGAGTAAAAGAGGTGGTCAGGAAGGCTTCACAGAGGAGGTGAAACTTGAAGCCTTCACTAGTGGGAAAACTCAGAATATAGCCCATTCAGGGAATGAATGGCAGATGCATTAGACTGGGCATCAGGAAGAGTAATTTCTCTAATACTCCTATAACCCATAATTTCCCCTTTGTGAAATGCACTAAAGTCTAGAGAAACATTTAGTGACCTCTTTGGACCTGTAGTGATCAAGGCGACATACACAATGATTAGAGGAGGCTGATAAAATAGAGGGCTGGTGAGACACCTGCCAGGCTCACTCACTCCCTGACTGGCTTCAGCCTCACAGCACAAGGTTCAGAGAAGCGCCTGGGAAATAGCATGTCCTCGCTCCAAAAGTTAAACACAAGAATTATTATGGTGAATGCAGAGGTAACATGAATACAAAGGTTATAATGGTTTTCTGTGGGGAGACCGTGGAGTCTTGAGGGGACAGCGATGAGTGAGACTGGAAAAGTAAGTAGGGCCCAGGCCATTGAGAGCCTTGTATCCTAGTAAGGTGACCTACCTTCCTCCTCCTCCTCCAATTTGCCCTTGAAAACAAGTCTGCCAAGCTTGTTAGGTTAGTTTGCAGAGTAAGAGTAAATGGACTTTGAGTAATAATACATAAGATATTATGTTCCCCTGGCATTCTCAGAGCTGAGGAATGGGGCAGGGCTATGGCAACCCCCCTCACTTCAGGCCCCAGCCGTGGCCCTAGACGCATGTATTAACCTGTCCTGCACTGTCATCTCCTAGGAAGGCCCAGAAGAAAACAGCGCCTATGAGCAGTTGCTGTCACATTTGGAAGAAATCACTGAGGAAGGTCAGTTTGTTGGTCTGGCCACTAGCCTCGATACCCTTGTTCCTAAAGAATCGCCCTTGGGGAACCTTGGGTCTGAGGATGGAGATGGGCTCCCTCCCACAGGGAGGGGATGATGAGTGAACTGGCTGACTGTGGTCTTTTTTTTTTTTTTAAGTCTTTTATTTTTTAATTTTATTTATTTTTTTCCCCCAAAGCCCCAGTAGATAGTTGTACATCATAGTTGCACATCCTTCTAGTTGCTGTATGTGGGACGCGGCCTCAGCATGGCCAGAGAAACGGCGCGTCAGTGCGCACCCGAGATCCGAACCCGGGCCGCCAGCAGCGCAACGCGCACACTTAACCGCTAAGCCATGGGGCTGGCCCATGACTATGGTCTTGATAGTAACTACGAAGCTGAACCGAGGCAGACAGGCAAAGACACACTGCTGCCCACAGGCTTTATGGTAAAAAAACAAAAACCAAACAAAACCAAAATAAGACAAAAAACAAATAAGACCAAAAGAAATAGCGTTTGGAACTTCAGGGGTTGAATCTGGAGAGTTAAAATTTTTCTTCGTAACTATCAAATATTTTAAATTTGTGAATACTTTTGTTGGAAATCGTCTTTTCTTTCTCAGTCACTCTAGGTCATTTTAAACCTCACTTACCCTACTGGACCTTCAGTTTTGCTAAACTAGAAGGCACTGTGCTTTTTGAGTTTTTGTGTCTGTTTTTTATAGTTATAAATATTTATATTGATTTATAAGTTATTCAGCTCATTTTCCCTTTTGATTCACTCTGGGCTTAAATCTGTAGTCCAGCATATTAAAATAGTATGAAAGTAAGAGTGAAGACTCAGAGAGGGGCCCTAAGGAGCAGTTCTCTGTGAGGCCCCCAAGCCCTTTACTTTCTTCTGAGTTACGTCTTTGCTGAGTCATGGGAAGGGATACGCTTGGTGACGAAGCAGTCTCAGGGAGTTGAGTGAGCTTGGCTTCTGGGAGATGCGACTGTATCCCTGTTCATCTCTGAAGCTTCAGGGGGAGGGGCCTCCAGGTGGGACTCCAGCACAGGTCCTCTCCACAGACTCAGAGACTTGGATCCCAGGACTGGACGTGTCTGCACTGCTGCCCTCTGACCTCAGCCGCTACTTCCAATATGAGGGGTCCCTGACCACACCCCCCTGTGCCCAGGGGGTCATCTGGACTGTGTTCAACCAGACAGTGAGGCTGAGTGCTAAGCAGGTGGGGCTGGGGCATGGTAGTGACATAGGGCATGTGGGGAAAGGGGTCTGGGATGAGATCAAGATGTATAAAGAGATGAAGGGGCCGTGTGGGGGATGAGGGGGACATGGAGGGTGGAGCCCTGAGGTGTGAGGAGGCCTGTGGCCCTTTTGTTTCCTTGTCATGAGCCCACCCCTACTGTCTACTGGCCTGCCCAGCTCCACACCCTCTCTGGCTCCCTGTGGGGACCTGACGACTCTCGGCTACAGCTGAACTTCCGAGCCACGCAGCCTTTGAATGGGCGAGTGATTGACGCCTCCTTCCCTGCTGGCGTGGACAGCAGCCTTAGGACTGCTGAGCCAGGTGCAGGTTTGTCTGGTGTCCCGTAGTGCCATGTCCCCAGCCACAGGCCCTTGCCCTCCCATGAGTCCTCATTTGGGCCCGTGTCTGTCCCTGGTGTCACAGCCCCGGCTCTAACTAACATCTCCTCTTTCTCTTCAGTCCACCTGAATTCCTGCCTCGCTGCGGGTGAGTCTGTGCCTCTCCTGTGGCTCCTGATGCTGGGGGCACCCCTCGGCACCGTCCAGCCCCCTCTCCTAATCAGGGTCACGTCTGCCCCCTCTCCTTTTCTGTAGAACAGACCTCCAACCCCCATAGGATAGAGTGTCAGATCAAGGTGGGGGTTCTACCGTTGTCCCCAGGCCAAGAATTAGAAGGAAGGTCTAGAAATCTCCTAGCATGCTCCTTTGCAAAAAACCTCTTTTATTTCATTTCTAGGGAGTAAAAATGTCCTTATCTTACTCCTTCTTATGTATCCACCCCCATCCCTTTGCTAGCCTCTTCTGGATTCTTTTTTTTTTTTTGTGAGGGAGATCAGCCATGAGCTAACATCCATGCCAATTCTCCACTGTTTGCTGAGGAAGACTGGCCCTGGGCTAACATCCATGCCCATCTTCCTCCACTTTATATGGGATGCCGCCACAGCATGGCTTGACAAGCGGTGCATCGGTGTGCGCCCGGGATCCGAACCGGGGCCGCCAGCAGCGGAGCGCGCACACTTAACCGCTATACCACGGGGCTGGCCCTAGCCTCTTCTGGATTCTGAGACACTGGGGGCAGCTGGAGAACTTGGGGGAAGGGTGGGGGGACACACGGGAGCAGGCTCTGAGGGAACCTACGGACTCCTCTCCACTCCCTGAGGCAGCCTCTCCTCTCCCTCCAGGCGACATACTGGCCCTGGTTTTTGGCCTCCTCTTTGCTGCCACCAGCATCGCCTTCCTTGTGCAAATGAGAAGGCAGCAAAGGTACTACACCCCCTGTCCCTCAGGCATGGCTCCCACCTCCCCACGTGGAGTCCAGAGCAGCTTCATGCAAATTGTATGCACGTGAGCTCCTCCTGGGCCAGTTTTCTTTCTTTCTTTTTTTTTTTTTTTGTGAGGAAGATCAGCCCTGGGCTAACATCCTCCTCTTTTTGCTGAGGAAGACCAGCTCTGAGCTAACATCTATTGCCAATCCTCCTCCTTTTTTTTTTTCCCCAAAGCCCCAGTAGATAGTTGTATGTCATAGCTGCACATCCTTCTAGTTGCTGTATGTGGGATGCGGCCTCAGCATGGCCGGACAAGCGGTGTGTGGGTGCGCGCCCAGGATCCGAACCCCGGCCGCCAGTAGCGGAGCGCACGCACTTAACCGCTAAGCCATGGGGCCATGGGCCAGTTTTCTGACTAGGCTTCCTGTTCTGTAGACTCAGAAGTGGGACCAAAGGGAGTGTTAGCTACCACCCAGCAGAAGTCACCGAGACCGTCACCTAGAGGCCTGGAACTTGGAGAATGTGCAGAGAGAAGCAGCCAGAGGAATCTGAGGAGCAGCTGGAGACTTTGTTCTGTCCTGCCCATCACACCACTTCCTTTTTAACCTCCAAGGTTTTTTTTAAAAATAAATGTTTCTAATGAAATATGTGGAAGGCATCTTTTTTCCCCAAATCAGAAGGATGGTGTGTTCATTTCTTATTGCTGCTGTAACAAATTACCACAAACTTAATGGTAACACAAATTTATCCTCTTAGAGTTCCGGAGCTCAGAAGTCCAAAGTGCTCTTACAGGCTCAAGTCAAGCTGTCGGTGGGGCTGGTTCCTTCTTGACACTCTGAGGGGACGACGTTTCTTTGCCTTTTTCAGCTTCTAGAAGCCAACTGTTCCTTGGCTTGTGGCCCCTTCCTCACATCACTCCAACCTCTTGTGTCCATTGTCACATCTCCTACAACTCCCTTTGACCTTGCCTCCTCTTACAAGGACCCTGGTGATTACAGTAGGCCCACCCAGACAACCTAGGATAGTCTCCCTGTCTCAGAATGCTCACCCTTTCCCACATCAGGTAACATTTCACAGGGTGAGGGTGTGGGCATCTTGCAGCCTGGGACGCTATTCTCCCTACACAGATGTTCTCAGGGAGGGGCAGACGTGACTGACATCGTTGGAATGGCCCTGAGTGTGTGTGTGTGTGTGTGAGATTGCGTGCAGCGGTGTGTCTGGGGGCAGGGCAGGCTGCAGCCTCGAGGCTTAACATCACACTGAGGCTTGGGGCTCTCATCCTGCTCAAGTACCACCTGTGTAGCTTTGCAGTGTTCAGATTGTGTTGTGTGGCCCAGCCGCCCACTGGAATGGGGCAGTGCTGCGACAGCAGCTCCTTTGCCCTGCAGGGAGTAGGGGCCAGTGATGCCCCGGCCCTGGTGGGCATCTCTGCTTCACGTGGCCTGTTCGCAAGCCCTCCTTAACCAGCCCAGGGCCCCTCCCCTTGGCTCCGGTGGCAGAGTACAGACCCTACTCACTCAGATGTCTTTCCAACTCCATTGCTCCCCTCAGGCATCCTCTCAGCCCTCTTCACTTTAGAAAACTACCACCACCATCACCAACACTAAAGAAAAGCTTAAAGGGCCCCTTGATCCTGGTAACATCAGTTTTATTGGGTTGGGGTGGCAACTGTAGTCTGACTGGGGGCAGGGCCAGCCCTCACAGGTTGTTGAGTTCCAGCAGGGTCTGGTCGAGGGTCTGGTGAATCTCCACGTTCTCCTCCTTGGCACTGGCCAAGGTCTCTGTGAGGGGAAGCAGCATATGAAGAGGGGAAGGGGAGAGATGTGGGGAGGCATGGATGGGGGACGTGACAAATAGACACGGACTGGTTGGAGGCACAGGAAGACACAAGCATTCAGGGCTCTGAGGACCCGTGGCTGGGGTGAATGGATGGACTGACCAGGACAGACACAGATGCCTCACTCAAGGCTTTGGGGTGATGGAGGTGGGATGGGAAGGTCTGAGTCATAAACTAGTTTACCCTCCTTTAGAAGGTGTGAGTTGGAAACAGAAGACAAAGACTGCGCCAGGAAAGGGAAGGCCAGACACACAGACTTGAGGCAGAAAACAGACCTGGAGTGAAAGCCCAATGTTGCTGGCATCCAACACTTTTCCAAGCTTCATCCCAGACCTTTCACAACCCTCTTGCCCCTCCCCTGCACCTCACCACCCCGTTTCCCCTCCAGTCATTCCTTCAGCTCCTGGAAGCCCGGCTGAGTGCTCGGAGGTCAGTGACAGGCCTGGGTCTGCAGAAGGGTGGGCCTCACCCTTCTCACGGTGACTCCTCGGGTCACACATGCCCACATGCAGCAGCAAGAGTCGAAGTGACAGACCGGGAGTGCCCATGCGGGGGGGTTTTGGTGTGTGCCACAGTGTTTTGTGGGTGAGCTCACTGGGTGGTCACAAGATTTGGGGTGTCTGTAAGAGCCCGGGTCTCAGCAGGGAACCAGTGCTCTGGGGGGTGATGGAAGTGCTCTCTGGAGGGCAGGAAACAGCATGGAGACCAAGTTGAGTTTATTAAGCAGCAGAGAGAGGTAGAGGCAGGTGGGTGAGGGGGGAGTGGATGGAGAGAAGGACGAAGCAGGTGCCAGGGTGGGTGGCAGGTGTGCTGGGGCTCTCCTAGGCTGGCCCCGCCTGGCTGCGCAATGTTGGCAATTTCTGCTCCTCCTGCCCCCCCCCCCATAGAAAGAATGGAAAGGAGAGGAGAGAAGGGGCCAGGGGGCCACACTGGTGAGGGGCTCAGAGGGAGGTGATGTCATTGAGTGCGTTGTCCAGCTCCTCGCTGATGGCCTTGTACTTCATCTTCTGTGCATAGACTTCGTCTGGGGAGGTCCAGGGGAGGGGGACCAGGTGGGAGTGTGAGGAGAGGGAATGGAGGGAAAGAGGAAAGGAAGGAGAGAGGGTAATGGAAAGAGAGAAGAATTGTCAGAGAAAGGTGGACAAAGATAGAGTGACAGAGAGGCCAGAGAACAGGCTGCACAGACGTCAGGGCTCCCTCTTCCCTCTCTGTACCCCCAGATTGGTTCTTCCCCCACAAGCTCCTGTCTCCCCCAGGACGTAGGGGCACAGTGCTTTGAATAAGCAGGAGTGCTTGCTTCGGCGTGGCGGGGTGCTCGAGCCAGAAAGGTCTGAAGTCATAAAGGTGGAGATAAACTTGAGGTTTGCCTGAGAAGGCTGGAGGCGAGGGAAGCGGCAGTCATGAAACTGAAAGGTTACCGCAGAATAAAGGGAGACAGTTCTAGGCACAACGGTGTTGACAACAGTGAGAAATAGCCACAGACTAGCAAATACCTGGATGTTTGTTTTCACCAAATCTAGCTTAAAATAGTATTTTCCACTAATATCATCATGAAAACCTAGTTATTAAACCAAATAGCTCTCTAATAAAGAAGTTTCTGGGATACAGCTCTATCGTGCTGCACCTGGAGACAGAACTGTCTTGGTTAGTGCTATTCAGAGTGGTCTGAGGACCAGCAGCGTCGGCACTTCCAGGGAGCTCATGAGACATCTAAATTCTCCAGCCCAAAGTCAGCAATCACTTTGGAGCAAGCCCAGGAGTCTGTGTTTTAAACTCTGTGGCGTGAGACACGCCGGTGCTGCTGTGCCAGACCCGGCACAGCCCCTTGAACGGCAAGCGCAGACACTGAAGTCTGCAGAGGCCCAGGCGGCCGCCCCAACTGATGGGTGGCAAATATAATGGGATGGGAAGATGGGGGACAGACTGGATGGGAAGATGGGGGACAGACTAACAGTCATGGGGAGTGCAGGCCTATTCAAAAAGGTTTGAGGTACAGGGGAGTAGCCCTTTTACCTTCCAGGTCATCAATGGTTTTCTCCAACTTTGCCACAGACCTTTCGGCAAACTCTGCTCGGGTCTCAGCCTGGGAGTAAAGGCAAGACGGGGGAAATGACAAAGTCTTAGGCCCTCCCAGACACTGTCACTCAAGTCCCCCTTCTTTTCCATCCCTATCCCCGACTTCCTGGCCCAGGTGGTCTCTGGCGGTGGTGGGGGGCAGGGACTGGAGTACTCACCTCCTTGAGCTTCTCCTCCAGTAGCTTGATCTCCTCTTCATATTTATCCTCCTTGGTGGAATACTTGCAGGGACAGACACACACCATCAGCAGATCGCCTCCACAGACCCTTCACTTCTCCACTGAGCCCCACAGGTTGCTCACCATCTTGTCTCCAGCGAACACCCGCCTTGCCCCGCTGGGGCCCAGCGCCTCCCTCCCCTGGAGGACCCCGGCCTCACTACCCGTGTCCCCCTCTACCTTGTCCGCCTGGGCTTCCAGGGATTTCAAGTTGTTGGTAACAATTTTCAGCTCCTCCTCTAGGTCCCCACATTTACTGCAGGGGGTGTGTGGCAGGGTGGGGTGTGAGGGCACAGTGGGGAGACAGTGGAGATGGCACAGCAGGGAGGGATGGAGGAAAGAAGAGAAGAGCAAAGTTGTGAGAGTGAGAGCAGGCAGAGCTGGGAGGCCCCGGGCCCTTCCCGACCCCAGCAGCTGAGAGCAGCCTGAGATGGAGGGGAAGGTGAGCTGAGAGAAGGTGCCACTGCCCAGAAAGGTCCAGAGAGGTTGCTACCTCCTCCTCTGAGGCCATCAGGGACTTGAGGGCCTGGTCCATGGTCCGAAGTTCCTCCTCCAGCTGCCTGGCTCGGCTGGGGGCGGCGGGTAGGGGTCAGAGGACAGGACCTGTCCCTATGGCCCCGAACCTGAGAAACTGCCTCCCTACTTCGCAGAGTGCCCCACAGCCATGGCTCGGGCCAAGTTTCACTTGCCACCCCAGGGTACCCTTACCTCTCAGCCACCTCGGCTCTCTCTTCTGAGCGCTCCAGCTCTCCTTCCAGGATCACCAGCTTCCTGGCCACCTGCAGGGCACGGGGAGAGAGGAGCAGATCCACAATGAATGACTCGGCTTGTGTCGGACTTGCGAGTGAGAAGGAAGCGGAGCAGAGCTATCACCTCCTCATATTTGCGGTCCGAATCCTCAGCGATGTGCTTGGCCTCCTTCAGCTGCATCTCCTGCAGCTCCATCTTCTCCTCATCCTTCATGGCTCGGTTTTCGATGACCTTCATTCCTCTGACAGGCAGGGAGAGGGGTGGGAGTGGGGTCAGGATGAGCAGAGACAGGCTCTGAGCCCCCTGCCCAGCCCACTCCCTGAGGGCCCCCTGCCCACCTCTCACTCTCATCAGCTGCCTTCTCAGCCTCCTCTAGCTTCTGTAGGGCTGTAGCCAGGCGCTCCTGCGCCCGGTCCAGCTCCTCCTCTACCAGCTGAATACGGCGGTTCAGAGAGGCCACATCTGCCTCGGCCTGTGGGTCAAAGGTCAGAGGTCAGAAAAGCTTTGTCTGCCTTGGATGAGGATAAGAGAGGCTCCAGAGGATATTCTTGTCAGAAAGAACCTAGGCTTCCTGGTTTCCAGACTTTCAACCTATTTTTCTCCCCCTAGCCAACCATCTTCTTGCCCAGACCGTGCTCCAGCCCAAAGTATGCATTCCTTGACAGGCTCCAATCCCCTGCCACAGGGCCTCTTCTGGCACGATGCACAGTCAGTCTACCAGTGGTTATCTGCATACAGGCCCCTCTGTGCCCCTGAGAGCACTCCAAGTGCTGGGCCCAGGTCTGAGGCAGCCCTGACTCCTCCACAGCAGAGCCTGGCGGGCCGGGGGGTGGGGAAGAATGAGGCCAACCAGACCTCACTGCTGCTAAAAATAGCCAGTCACAGAATCAAGGTCCGTGATGTCACTGGCTGCCAGGCAGACTCCCACTGAAGGGCTCAGGAGGCAAGCCAGGCCTATACAGGACATCCTTGGCTGTGCCATGGGGCTCCCTGCCAAGGCAGGGAGGCAACTGGGGGTGGTGCAAGGGCAGTGTGAGTGACGGATTGTCAGGCCCTGATCCTGCAACACAGAGGCAAAACCACGGAGGCTTGGGAGAAGGCCCATGGAAATGGATGATACCTTGAGAAAAAGAGGCAGAGCCAAAAGGGGCCAATAAAGGAAAAGGGGAGAAGCAACACAGTTTGGTGTTAAGAGCATCGGCTCTGAGGCAGGCTGCTGTCTCCGAGCCACAGCTCAGCCACTCAACACTTGTGTCACTTTAGGCAACTTATTTAGTGTCTGTAAGCCTCCAAGTTGACAACAGCAGTTCCTCCTTCGGATGCTGTTCTGAGATAATGCCCTTCTTCTACTACTCGATTAATCAACAGGACCACGTGGGAGGCTTATAAAACTAAACAGGTTCTCCAGCTCCATGCTGGATTCACTGAATTGGGATCTGCATGGCAGGGCTTGGAAATCTTTTAGTTCTTTTTTTAAAGCTCTCAAGCAATTCTGATAAGCCAAGTTTGGGAAATAGTAAAACAATACGCAGAAAGCAGTTGAGCACCTTGCCAGCAGAGTCTACACTTCATAAATGTTAGGCTGTCCCTGACTCTCCCTCAAAGATGAAGATGTAGAGACCCTGAGATTTAAGACTGGAAAGCAGAGAGGAGCAGCAGGGGAAAGAGAGAGATAGAGGGAGAGAGGGGCAGCAGCACTGGGGGCAGCAGGGGTAGAAACCAGGTCCTAAGTTGGACGGCAGGGCAGGGGAAAGAGTACCCTACGTAGAAAGTAGTTGTAGGGAGCCGGCCCCGTGGCGTACTGTTAAGTGCATGTGCTCCGCTGCTGGCGGCCCGGGTTCGGATCCTGGGGGCGCACCAAGGCACCACTTGTCAGGCCATGCTGTGGCGGCGTCCCAGATAAAGCAGAGGAAGATCGGCCAGATGTTAGCCCAGGGCCAGTCTTCCTCAGCAAAAAGAGGAGGATTGGAGACAGATGTTAGCTCAGGGCTAATCTTCCTCACAAAAAAAAAAAAAAGAAAGTAGTTGTAGCTTATCTTCCAGGTGCTGAATGCCACCTGGACAAGTGACAAGAGCCCATCATGGGCACAGGGCCAGATGACTCAGTGTGGAAGGATTCTGGGGGCAGCACTGTGGGTTAGGAAGAATGACTCCGGGGGACACTGGGGGTCTACTCTAGAGAGAAATGAAACTCGATAAAAGGAAAACTCTCTTCATGGTAGTGAGGTGACAAATGACTGGAGAATATGGGAAGTCCTGGGGTCCTCATCACAGGACTGACATTTATCATTGGCTGCTTCTCAAGCTCTTCCCAGTTATGGATGCTGCTCTCTGACCACTACTGTCCCCACTGGACAAGTGGGAAGCAAGAGAGAAGGGAGAAACTGAGGCACTGTGTAAGTCAAGTGCTGCGTTCAAGGTCACACAGTAAGTTTGGGCAGTGTTTCCCATCTGCCCCTGGCACTGCAGCCCTGCTTCCCCAGCTCTTTCCCTGGCTCCACTCCTCCCCTCCAGCCCCAACCCAGCTCCTTGGGTTTCCAGTCCTGCCTCCAGCTGTACTGGGTCTTGGTTATTTATAGAGTGTCAGATGCCCAGGGTTGTCTTCGCTAGCAGCTGCAGGTCAGTTCCCTCCCGAGTGCCAGGGCTGGTGGAGAACCAACACCAAAGGCTGGAGGTCAGAAAGACCAATCTTGGTGGTGGGGAGTTGGGGAACACAGAGAATGGTCAACACAAACAGTAACGTCATCTTTGATCTCGGATGTTCAGATCATACTTGTGCTAATCCCCTCAACCATCCAACCGGAGGTTCATCTTAAACTTAAAACAATCCTGGGTAGAAGGCAAACGGGGAAACTGAGGCAGAGAATAGTGAAAGTACCATGTCCAAAGTCATATGGCCACTCTCCGGTGTCAAGATGGGGGTTAGGCATGGCAGGAGGTGGAGAAGTCTGGTTAGGGGATGTGGGGTGGGCAGAGGAATCGCAGAGTGAGCAGGACCTGCCAAGGTGGCTGCCTTGGCATTTGTGGCCCTGTTCCTCTGCCCTGTGGCCTGGCATGGTCTCAAGGCTGACAGCTTAACGAGGGTAAATAAGGGTCCAGAAGAACCTGAGTTGGGGCCCTAGTGCACAGCAGGGCCGCTGAAGCCAGAGGTCAAGGCCAGGGAATTTCTAATGGCCCCCCAGTGGTGTAACTCAAGGCGGGGCCCATCTCTGGATTCCTCTCCCTCCTCCTGCCCAACAGCACCTACACCCACACCCCGCACCCCGAAAATGTAGCTGCAGTCTCCTCTCCATTTTCCGCTGGAGGATGAACTGAGGTGGATGATAAATTCCTGTTCCACCCACCCCCACGATGACTCATAGCTTGGTCACTGTACATTCTAAGAGCTGGCACCAAACGGAATTATAAGGCTCCGACCTCGGGGGACGTGGGAGGTGGTTCCGATTTACCCACTGTCTCGACGATTTGTGCAAGCTTGCCCGAGCCCGGTTCCTGAGAGGGAACCCTTTCTGTCCTGGTGCTGGGGATATCTGGGTCCCCTCTCCTTCATCCCCATGTCCAGGACTCCTCCCATGTGCTCTCTCTTCCACCGTCCCCCAGGTCCACACTCACATCAGTGGCCTTCTTCTCAGCCTGCTCCAGTTTCTCCTGGGCGTCCTTCACTGACTCAGAATACTTCTCCACCTCGTCCTCCGTCCCCTTCAGCTTCTTCTGGAGGGCCTGCTGCTCCTCCTCCAGCTGGGAGAGAGAGGCCTCCGTCAGCCAGGCCCAGGCCCAGGCCGGGGCAGAAGGCAGGAATGTGTGAGGGGCACTAAGAAATATTTAGAGGCTATCAGAGAGGAAGAGGGATAGCAGAGGGGGCAGTGCAGCCAGGGTGTTGGAGGCACCTGGTGAGGGTAGAGAGCAAGCTTCTAGTCCCAAGGGGCAGGGCCCATCATGGCTATACAAGGGCAGGAGTGGAAATTGCGGGTCTGGGGGTCACCAGGCTACACTGGGTGAGATGAACCGTGGCTCTGGCTAGCACTGTGGGGGGTATGTGAAGGCCCAGCCCCAACACTGGACGGGCAGGAGCCTTGGAGAGCAGGCCCGAGGCTAGGGGGCGCGGGGCAGGGCCTGCTCGCCCTCGTTGAGGGAGAGGGGTTGCACCGGGTCCTGGGCCCCCACCTGCTTGCAGCGGTCCTCAGCTTGCTTCTTGTCGGCCTCAGCCTGCTCTGCCCGGTCGATGGCATTCTCCTTGTCCAGCTTTAGCATCTGCATCTTCTTCTTGATGGCATCCATGGCTGCGGTGGGGGACGGGCCGGCCGGCGGGCGGTGCGCACGGGGCGAACTGGGCTGGCTACGCGGACTGGACGCACTGGTGGCGGGCGAGGAGGGCCAAGCGGGACTGGGATGTCCCAGCCGCGCGGGCGCCTAAAAGGCGGGGAGGGACCGGGCGGAGCCGGGGGCCGGGACCCTCCCCCACCGCGGCCCAAACCTTGTAGGGGCAGAAGCACGGCCCGGCCGAGGGGCGCGGCCACCCCCAGCGCCCACCCCCTCGGGACCGCCCCCCGTGTCCCCCGCCCCCCACCAGCCGTCGGAAGGGAAAGGGGCCGGGACAGTCCGCTAAAAACCCTAGCGCTGCGGCGGGGAGGGGATCCTCGGACGGGGGGCTCCGCGCTTGCTCTGAGTGACAGCCCGGCCCCATGGCAGCTGCGGCTGGGGCCCTTGGGGCTATTTCGGGGCGTGAGCTCACGGCAGCTGCCCGCGCGCAGGGACCGCCGTGCCCCCCCTCAACTGCAGCAGCCGCTGCCCTTAATTTAGAAGTTTCCTGTAAATCCCCACGGATTAAATGTCTCTTGGGAGGCGGGGCTCCTTCGCTGTTTGAGTGCCTCAGTTTACCCTGAGTCCCAGACTCTGGGTTTGCGTTGCCGACGTGATAGTGATAGGGCCGAGTCTCACCAGGGGCTTGGGGAAACTGAGATAGGAGGGGAGCCCAGAGCCCCGGTCGCAGTGCGGAGCGAGGCCCGGCTTGCTACCCCCAAGGGCGGGCCTGACCTTTCTTCCCCTCGCTTCCCCTTCCACCCCCTGCCCCTGGATCCGGGGCCCCTCCTCTGCGGTGGCCAGGCCACGGAACCCAGCTCCGCGCCCGCCGCCCCGCCCCACGTGCCCACATAGTTTCCACGCGGCTACGGCCGGCAGCGCCCCGCGCGCCCCGCCCCCACCCCGGGTCGCGTCCCTCCCCGCCCCGCCCGGCTCCCTCCACTACCCACCCCCGCCCGCTGTCCCCCTCCCGCGTGCCCCGCGCCCGCCCTTTTCCCCTTCTCCCGGCGGACTCTCCTCTCTTCCCTTGCGGGCCAACTTTACGCTGAAATCTCTTTTCTGCCCTTTTTTGGGATGTTTCCCCGTGGGGAGGCGGGGCCGGGCGGGAGCGGGGAAGGCAGGGGCGAGGGGAAGAGTTTCTGAGCAGCAGGGGCGGGCGCCGGGGTGCGATGCCCCCTCCCCCCGAGGCCGCCAGAAGCGGCTCCCGAGGGGGTCCTGGAGTCAGGACGTCTGAGGCGCTGGCGCGAAACTGATTTCGTTTTCCCTGGTGTGGGGTGAGGGGAGAGGAAGTGGAGAGCCGCCTCGGAGGGAGGGCCGAGGTGGAGGAAGCGGTTCGCCCGGCTCCCCAGGGGCAGAGGGGTGGGAGGCCTGGATTTGCTAGCGGGGGTGGGAACCGTGGGAACCCGTGGGCCCCGGGCAGGGCAGGGCAGGGCAGGGAAGGGGCGCGGAGATGTATTTAGATCTGCTCCGCTGCGTGCTGCCACGCGTGGAACAAACCTGACCTCGCGGTGTTCGCTCCGACCTGTTTTCCCCAAACTCATGAAAGACGCCCCCATCCCCCGGTAACCAGTGCTAGACACCTGGGGTTATCAAGCGCTCCCCTGTTCCTCACTGCCCACAACCACTGACTCCTGTAGATTCTACGCCCTAAAAATGAGCTTCCTCCTCCACTGCGATTGCCTTGGCAGCTCATTATATTATCTCCTGCCTGGGTCTGTTGTGGCCTTACTCCTGGTTCCGCAACGCATTCATTCATTCAGCTATTCCTCAGACATTGTTACCAAAGACCTTTTTAAAAGTTGATGTGAATAGAATCCTAAAATCTTCCAAAACTCCTCCCTACTCCCTCCCTCCTTTGAAGATAAAAATCCACATTTCTTAATATGGTATATAAGGCCCTTTGTTTTGGCCCCTGCCTACTTCTCTAGCCTTGGCTCCTTTCATTCCCAACCTCACGCCCAACGCACGTGCTTGTACTTCATGCTGCATTCCTACTGAGCGACCTGCGCGCGCGGGAACTAGCCATACTTGTCCTAAAGCTTCCGCCTTTTATGCATTCTGTTCCCTCTCCCTAAAATGCTCTTCCCTTGGCTGAATCCTGGTTGCCTTAAAGATTCAGATCAAGCGTCAGCCCTTTTGGGAAGCCCTCCTTGGTCATTTCCCCTCCCCCCTCCACTTGGGAGGTGCCCGTTCTTGGTGCAGGCTGCTGCTACTCTCATCATCATCCCTGTTACAGCTGTTCTTGCACCTGTGTCTCCTCCACTGGTCTGCGAATCCTCCAGAGCAGGGACTCCCTTTTTCAGTTCTGAATCCCCCATGCCAGCATAGCATCAGCCACAGTTAGCACCTGATAAACATTTGCCAGGTGAATTTTTTATGCACCAGGTTCTGGGTACCCAAAGATACTAATACTATGTGGATCTAGAGGAACTCATGGTCTAGTGCGGCAGTTCTCAAACTTTTTGGCCTTAGAACCCCTTACACTCTTAAAAACGAGTGGGGTTTGAAGATCCAAAAAGCTTTTGTTGAATCAGATTAATCTACCAATACTTAGCATATTAAAATGGAAACAGAAAATTTTAAAATATTTATTAATTCATTAAAAATAACAGAAATAAGGGCCCACGCAGTAGCATAGTGGTTAAGTTCAGCACGCTCCACTTTGCTGTCCCAGGTTCCTGGGTTCAGATCCCGGGCACGGACCTATACCGTTCATCAAGCCTTGCTGTGGTGGCAACCCACAAAACAAAATAGAGGAAGATTAGCACAGATGTTAGTTCAGGGGCAATCTTCCTCAAGCAAAAAGGGGAAGATTGGCGACAGATGTTAGCTCAGGGTCAGTCTTCAACAACAACAAAAAGAGATAAACCCTTTACACATAAACCATATTAACATAAATGTTTTTAATGAAAAACAGCTATATTCACCTCCCCAAATTAGTGAGAAGATGGCAGTTATTTTACATTTTTGCAGACCTCTTAGTATCAGTCAGTAGAAGACAGCTGGATTCTCAAAATCTAGTTGTGCTTTCTATCTGTTGCTGTATGTTGGCTTGTTTGAAGTACTGTACAGTCCTCCCTCGGTATCCGCAGAGGACTGGTTCCAGGACCCCCGCGGATACCAAGATCCACGGATGCTCAAATCCCTTAGTTGGTTCTGGCCCTCCATATCTTTGGGTTCCACATCCACTGATACAGAAGGCCGATTGTATATGAGGAAAATCTAGTCTCACACAGACATGTAGTTGGAAAAGAGAGTAGTATATTTATAGCCTTTTCAGCTAATTGTGGATATTCTTTGATACTACTCCAACACTTGACAAATGGTAGCGTCTTAAGGGTTAGTTGTAATGTGGAAACTGAAACCACATCAATAACCTTTTTGTACTACGTTACCTTAAAATTCGTTGGTCTGTACTGCACTTTGGTTGGATCTTTTACCCAGAGATGATTTTGTAACATAATGCACTGGTCGTTTGGAAAATATTGATTCACTGAGCTAGGCAGATGTTCCAAATGTTGATGTATTTCATTATACATTCTAAAAAAAAAGTCACATTCCTTAATACCATGATTGGTTTCCACAGAAAAGTCTAAGTTTTAAGTTTTGGGAAGCTGTGAAGCTCATGGTGGCAGATACAAGTTTTCCAAAGTTCTAATTTTCACTTAAAAGATTGAATTGTAACAATTGGCACAAATACTGTTGGATTTTTCCCTGGAGTGACAGACTCACTTGGCTCCTTTTTGAGAATGGTCTGCCAGATACCCAAGTCTGATAACCATGGTTTGTCTGTCAGTCACTCTTTTAAGTAAGTGGTGTTCCATCAAAAAAGCATCTAGTTCAGCTCACAACTCAAAGAACTGTCCAAGCGCTTTCCTCAAGACCCCAGCATACTGCGGTGTGCAGCCCAAGTGCTCATGCATACTTCCCAGTTCACCACCCAGAATATTGAAAAGAATTGTTACTCAAGGATTAAGATTTAATAAAATTAATAATTTTTTACTGCTTCACCAAGGACATTTTTTTTTTTTTTTGCAGGGAGGGATTCGCCCTGAGCTAATATCTGTTGCCAATCTTGCTCTTTTTTTTCCCTCCCCAGAGCCCCCCAGTGCATGGTTGTATACCCTAGTTGTAAGTCCTTCTAGTTCTTCTATGTGAGCTGCCACCACAGCATGGCAACTGACAGATGGGTGGTGTGGTTTCACAACAGGGAAACGAACCTGGGCTGCCGGAGCGGTGAGAGTGCCAAACTTTAACCACTAGGCCATCAGGGCTGGCTCACCAAGGACATTCTTAAGTGAAGCTAGCATTTATTTCTTAAATTGCTAGTGCATGGCAGTGAATACAATGACTGTTAGTACACTTTGGGCCACAGCCTTGATTTGTGCTAAGGCAGTTTTACTCACCAATGTGTTTGCACTGTCAGAGTAAATGTTGACACTGTGAGAAAGGAAAATAACGTCTTAGCATTATGATGAAAATAATCTTGATCTTATGGACCCCAGAAAGGGTCTTGGGAACTCCTAGGGGCCTGAGGACCACATTTGAAGAACTGCTGGTCTCATGGGTATTCGAGCCTCTCCCCAGAAGGCTCCCCGAGGCATCACTAGTGAGAGGTATGTGATTGGTCACAGTTCCTGAGGACATGGCAGGAAAGTGGTGGCGGGAATAAGCAGCTGTCCCGGGCTCATAGCTGGAGTTCAAACAGTTCAGACCACCACTAGTTGGGGAGATCGTAGAAGGAATTCGATCTCCAAGGTCCTCAACTCACGATGCTAGGACACTGAATCCAGGATTAGAGGCCACTGTGGTGTGTGCTGCAGTTGCCAGTCCTCTGCATCACAGAGCTGATAATACATCTCTATTTTCCAGTGCTTAGCACGGGCTTGGCTTAGCAAATATTGAATGAATTAATCACAGGTGACAGGAGTGATGGTGGGAAGTTGGCACCTTCCCTAATGGGCTGCCCTGGGGAGGACAAAGTAATTCTGTCTACCTTAAACTGACTTTAAGGGGGTGGAAGTAGATGTCATGGCTTCAAGGAGGTGAAAGGTGCCTGAGTAGCAGCAGGTGGGTGGTGTTTGTGTTCTACTTGGAGGGAGAAGCAAGGAAGTAACACACCGGGTAACCATCTTGGTTAAAGAATCATGCATGGAAATAGCAGCAGACCTAAGAGGCTTGTCAGATAGCCCATGCAGTGTGGGCAGGGGG